AGCCAGCAACTCGCCACCCAGTCAGGCCCAAGTGTATATGAAACAGGCCTTGTCCATCCAGCAACCGGTTCTCAGCCCAGCCCGCCCAGCAGCCCAAGTTCCAGGCGCAACGAGTCCGGCTGCCCGGCAGTGAGCAACCCCAGGCCCCGGCGCATCTCAGGGCATGCCAGCCACTAGGCCGGCCCCCAGCTCCCAGCCCACCAGCAGCAGGCTCAGCCCAGCGCGCCAAGGTCAGGTCCAACGACCAGTCTCACGTGTCTAAGACTGGTCTCAGCTATGCCAGCTACTAAGGTGCCCCAGCCCCTCAGTCCGGCTGCCCAAGCAAATAAGCCCAGGCTGGACAGGCCTTGAGCTCCTGCTCGCGTCTGGCCCCAGCCCCTTCGGCGCAGTCTAAAGTATGCCAGCCTAAGACTAGCCTCAGGCCCAGTCCCTCAGCCCGCCTGTGGGTGCTTGGCCATGGGTGGGTTGCTGGCTGCCGGGCAGCCGGACTACGCTGCTGGTTGCGCCTGGAACTTGGGCTGGGCGGGCTGGGCTGAGCTGGGCGGGTTGCTGGATGGGCAAGGCCTGTTTCATACACACTTGGGCCTGCTGGGTGGCGAGTTGCTGGCTGGGCTGGGCCTAAAGTTGGTCTTGGTTGTTCAGTGACACCAATTACTGTTCCCCTTTTTATGGAGGCCAAGCCCCACTAAAAATGCTCATCCCCAGAAAGAGGTCCTTTTTTCCAAGGGCACTGAGCAGCTGAGATAGTCTTGGTTTTGGATTTCAAACCTTCCGAGCAGGACGGCTTCCGAACATCGAACTAGCACGGGCGAACTGGTGCGGTCACAAGCTTTCAGTAGGATTCGGACCTTCCCAACACTGGATTTCGGTGTTCCTGACCCTTCCCTCAAACTAGGCTGGGCCGAGGCGGGCAACGAGAAGCGTTTACAATTATCGGCAATCCCGCAAGCACGCAGCCTTCCAGTTTACGTGGGCCATGTCAACTGCATACTTGCCACGAACATTGCACTCAATGATAGGTGCCAACCGCCCACGTCCTGCAAAAACACACCTGAGCAAAGCCGCAAAACGCGGCTTGAAGCCTTGAACACGAGAACACATAAGAGTTCAACGGGCATGCAGGGCGGGGAGGTCGAATCTGCCCCCAAGGCCAAGCGCTGGCCTCGTGGAACTCGCCGAAGAACTCGCTGCCATCGCTCCAAATGTAGTGGCCCTGCGGCAAAGCCCGTTGAGCACGCCACATTTGGTCAGCCATTCCTTCAAGTTGAGCCAGGTGGTTTGGGCCCCTTGGGCCACCCCACCCTTTCTCCGTGCCCACATGGGGTACCTGGGCTACCTCACCTATCGGAAAAACAAAACTAACATCCGGTTGTACGAGACAAAGTGAGGAGGTTCTGTCCACAAAGTTCCGCAGCCCACGCGCCTCCCCGTGCATTCGGCCACTCAGCCAGGTTCCTACCTTGCAGTCGGGGCGGTTGACCACGCAGCAGAAGTCCTACTGTGGATGGACGAAATCCTGCACCACCTAAGAACCCTGGAATGATGATTCCCCTGTAAAATACCTACAAACATTAGTTTCCCATGGTTTGAAAGTGGTGCAAACATTTTGTCCATCCACAGTATCTTTTGCCAGGCCTGGGACCTTCTCTCTATCGGGACCGTGCCAGGAAAAGTCAAAACAGGCTGCGCAATAGAAGGATTGACTCTTGAAGCGCTATTGACTTTGTCAGAATGCATCTGGGCACTTCCACCACTGAACTCCACCTCGCATGCCAGACTAGGGCGCCCCGGCGTACGAGTTGCCATTGGAGAAAATTCTCTGGTCCTTGCATCTCTTCCCCCCTTCTCCCCCTTCTCTCCCTGGATGTCTCGCAATGTCTCTCCACATCCCTCCCGCATCTCTCTGTCCGGCCCCCAAGCCCCGGCCCCACTCTCACACTCACTTCGGCCTTCACGAGTCTATTTGTGGCGAGCTTGTCGCTATCCGACTTTCTGGGCGTGACCTCGCTCTCCGACCCTCGAATTTAGACTCAGCCAGCCAAGCCATGGCAACACTGGGCCGCGGACAACACCAAAGTCTAGGCCCGAGCGCTTGTCAGAAATGAAGTGCTCGATGTTGAGAGCGTTGTCCTGCAAGTGCAGTGCAACTGAGAAGAACCCTTCTTTAGATTGAGGAAACCAGTGAATTTCCACCCCAGTTACCTTGAAGCGGCCCGTTTTAGGAGCCCTCCCAATTGCTCGCTCCTTGCGGTTGACATGCTCGTCAGGCAGCCTGCTCGGCACCTAGCAGCGTTAGAACATAGAACTTATGGAGGTGGTCCAAGGGGGGGGGGGTTCGCTAAGGAACCCTAACGAACCCTAACGAACCCTAAGAAATCCAAAAGAACCGTGAGGAACCCAAAGGAACCTAGGGCTCTCAACTACCCACCCACCCACCCTGTACCTATCCCTGGGGTTGCTCGAATAGCCTCTGCGGCTTCAGCACCGTTGGCAGGGCCGCAGTTGTGCTCGCGTGAATAAAGACAAGCTGTCTTGCAAGCAACAGTGCGGCCATGGGGAACTAGTCTCGACCAAGTTTCTCGGAAGTCACGTGTGCAATCAACAAGGTGGGCAACCCATTAGGGCCATCGCCATGGAGGGGTAGAGCCAGAACAATGCTGTGCAGGGCTCCACTTCTTGACCACCCCAAGGTAGACTTGAAACCAGGGTGGTTCATTACCCCCAAAAGGGGAACCCCTGGATTTGGGGTAGTCACAAAGTGGAACCCATGCTGTGGCAATAAGCCTCCTGAAAGGAACCGAGAGTGTCGGAAAAAGCCAACGCTCCACGCCTGGGGTCGACCTGGGCGAGTTTCGCGGAGAGGTAACCGCGTGGCGTTGTAGCCATCTGCCTGAGCTTGTTGCTATCAAATATCCAGGCGGCGAGTGATCTGGACGGGATGGTAAGGACCCTGCCACAGTTGCCATTTTGGCAGCCTCAGGTCTCTTTTCCGCGCGCGCAGTCAGCACATGCCGGCAAACATCTCGCGACATGTATTGGCCGGCCCGAGGGCAGGGCGGCAGCCGGCTCGCTGAACTCTTTGGCTAACTTTTGACTCCGTAAAGCTGGCCGCACAAGCCGTGCTCAAACCCATCGAGAATGTGCAGCCAAGGTCAAGGTTGTATTCCGCGGAATCAGAGACAGAACAAGTCTCTGGACATAGGTGTCCTTTTGCGAAAATAGATGGTCTTGGTAGATTGTGAAACAACCAGATCAGCCAGAGCCATCGATTTTCCCCCAAAACAAAGAAAAAGGCACCTATGTCTCTGGATGTTTGGACAGTGAATTCCCCATGCTCCCTTGCTCCTATTCGAATTTTGGCAATGGCCAATCTGCCACCTTCGCTGGGCCTTTCGCTAGAACCATGCAGGCTCCAAATCACCAGGCTTCTGCTGAGCTCTCGGGTGAGACGGTTGTGTACAAAGTGAGACAGCGTTTTGCTGGTCATACCTCTCCAGCCCTGAAGCTGGTTTAAACCAGTTCTGCTTGGTGTCCCAACCATCACTACTTGTCCATTTGGCCATGGGTCAAAATCCCGCACCCCCAGTGAACATCCCAATCCCCACTAAAATAGGTTCTAAATGGGTGGTGAATTCACCTACCAACCAAAATGGGATCCCATTAGTTTTGACCCACAGCCATTTGCTAGGGCAACCGATGTGGTGGACTCGGGGCTGGAGCTGCCAAAACATCGATGGCTCTACACCGGGCCGAGGCACCGGATCATCATCCACAAGTGCCGCAGCCTCTTCACGGCTCGCGTTGCGAAGAGGGCGAAGCTGGTGGGCTGATAAAGTGGGAGTCCCCATGACTTCACTTCGGGGAGGTTCCCGTACCCATAGCTACTTCACTTCACTTCAGTTCGCTTCAACCAAAAGAAAGGTTCCCAACCCCTCTACTTCACCAAGAAAATGGCCAGCTTCACCACCACAGTGGGGGGAGGTTTCCCAGCCCCACTACTTCATAAAGGCTAAAGAGGGATTCGCATCCCCGTGACTACAATAAAAAGGGGGCTCCCATCCCCATGACTTCACTTTAAAGGTTTAAAGGGGTGTTCTTGGTACAGAGTTGCTCGTTCCTACCTCATGTCATGTGGGTGTGGTTCTGTGTTGAGAGTACCCTTTCTCGGTTTTGGGTGCTTTCTTTCAAAGAGAACCAAAAGGAAAACGACAACTTTGGTGGAGCGCCCCGAAACAAGGCGCGCCCACAAGGCGAGTCACATCTAAGGCATTCGCCCAGGAGGCAGCTTTCCGGAAGGCGTGTACAGCTGCGGTGGAACCCTCGTGTACCTGGCGCACAAGCGCGGACGAGTGAGCCGACACTATTTTCGTACACCAGGTGCAAGCGATGATTCAGTACCTGCCTGCTGACGACTGTTGACAGTGGTGGCAGTCGAATTAAACGATGTTGTTGCAGCAAACAGGAAGCAAACAGGAAGGAACGCCTCTAGTGGGCTTCCCTTGTTTTGCCAGCAGCCAGCGGGCATCATGAAATACTACTGTCGGCGAGCGACCGACGCTTCAAAGTCAATTCTAAGAACACGTGGGGGCAAGTGCCGGAGTCAAGTCTAAAACTTGTTTGAAGTATCCAGCCCTGGACTCTCCAAACAAAATACTTGATCTCCCACCCAACTGAGCAACACACCAAACATGTTGTTCCCCCTGGCTGACCTCGAGATAGCGGGGAATCCTCTTGTTTAACCGTCTAAACCTTTTGTTTGAACCCCTCACCCTTTTTATGCAACTCTCTCTCCTTCTTGTTCAACCCTCCACGCTTCTATTTTCAAACCCTCCCCCCTTTCTTTCTAAGCCTCCACCTTTTCCTCTTAACCCTCTATCTCTTCTTTCTTGACCCTGTGGCAAAGGCCTACTGCAACTGCACTGAGCAACGACTAGCTTTGTGTAGGGTGGTTTAGGGTGGATTTGGGATTGGTGCAGTGTTGGTTTAGGGTTGGTTTTGGGTTGGTTTAGGGTTGATTTAATGCTTCTTGGCCTAGGGTGGGTTTGGGGCTGGTTTTGGGTTGGCTTAGGGTTGGATAAAGGTATGTTCATGGTTTGTTTAGGGTTGGTTTAGGGTTGGTTTAGGATGGTCTAGGGTGGGGGTTGGATTGGTTTAGGGGTTGATTGGCTTCGGCTGGGTTTAGGGTTGGGTTATGTCATATAGTGTTAACTTTGGTGGGTTCAGGGTTGGTTCATGGATTTCTTCGCACCCCCAAAACAAAAATGCGCACATATGTCCAACCAAAACCCCAAAGCCGGAGCCTTCATGTAGATTGGAGTTGCTTACACGTGCCCGCAATCACCACTAAAATTATCGAAATCCGGCATACAGAAGCAAACATCCTAGCCATATAACCCTCACATGGACCCATCTGGGAATACGGAACACTTGGGGTTGGTTTCGGGTGGGTTTAGGGTTGGTACAGTAAAGGGCTTAAGGTTGGTTTAAGGGTTGGTTTATATAGTGTGGTTTAAAGTTGGGTGGGGCTTAGGGCGGGTTAAAGGTTGTTTTAGGTTGGGTTTAGGGTAGGTGTTTGGTTGGCTTAGGGTTGGGTTGGTTTAGGGTTAGTTTTAGTCGGGGGGCCCGCGGGTGAAAGAACCAAGGTCGGTACTGAAAAACACAAGGCGGAGTGTGAACAAAAAACAAGGTGACGGTTGAAGAACAAAAAATGATTTCTGAGGGTTAGAAAGACAAAGGGTCCTCAACTACTAGGTGCTCTCAGAAAGCAGACCCTTGTGCGTGCGTGAAACATGGCGTGCAAACGACGAGTTGCTCCGTGGGGTGGGCTGATCTTGCTCGATCGTGCGCACGCGCGTGCGTCTCTGCGACCTAGCTCTCGAAGGGCTCCCCTTTTGCACCATCCGAACTTGTTCTCGAGACTCACGGCATGTCGTGCCAAATCAGCACAGCCCGCGAAGCAACTAGTCATTCGTTTCACGCGCGAGGGTAGTTTATTGCCAATTACTCCTCGGCTTCAAAGCAAACCAAAAGGAAACCACCACTTTGGAGGTCCTCCTATTTTGACACATACCCACACGCTGGCCGGGGAAGATTAAAAAACAAAAAACACTGTCTAAGCAATGGCGCACATGCGCGACAAACACAGTCCTTAGCTACAGCCGTCCTGATCAGGGTAACTCAAAAATAATGCGGAAAGAAAGCACAGATAGAAGGGAAGAAGGAAGAAAGCAAGATCAACATGAAAGCAGCAAAATCACCAAAAAAAGAAAGGAATGAAGCCAGAAAAATGAAGGGATGAAAACACAAACGGAGAGAACAAGGAAGGACAAGTCTCAAAAGGACTGGAGAGCAGAACATAACACACGCAGTGACAAGTGGCTGGAAGAATGATCTGCCACCTTTCGCAAGCCTCCACCGCCAAAACAATTGTTCCGAGTCGTAACACGCACACTGCTGCTGAACAACACACAGATCTGCGCCCAAAACCCACACTGCAAAGGGACATAGAGCTGGACCCAAGTGGCCTCCGCGCACATCGACCCAGCACCAGCCGCACCAGGCAAAGGATCAACGGCACCAAGGTGGCGGCCTCAACATTCCCATTCTTTGGATGCTTTCTGGGTCACTGGGGGCTATCCACGCACTGAGAAGCTAATGGATGCACCGCCCTGAGCACCCGGCTTAACCTACCCACTTTTGGCACTCGGATGGCATTGGGAAGCTTGAAAGTGTGGATGAACAGCTGGGTCCCAGGATGCCAAACACACTGTGATCGTCCTTTGGCGCAAGCTGAGGCCCATTGATTGGGATTGGAGCTACCAACTTAGTTGACCTGTTTCTGTGCCGGGCACCTGATTACAATGAGAGGAGCACAATAAATAGAAAGCACGAAGCCCAATTGTCAAGCTTGCCCGCAAATACAGGTTCAGCACGTTTGGAATGTTCACACGAAAGCAAGAGATAGGAAATAAGAACGCAAAACTGAAAAAACAGGTGCGCGCGTGTGCACAAATGAGTGTGCATGTGTGTGTGGGCAGGCTTGGGTGCGCTCAGCCAGTTCCAACCGGCATCCCCCACTGGACGAACCAGGGATCATTTCAAGGCGCCGCCAGCAAGGCAAGCCGAAAGGCCGTTCCCGCAGCGATAGTTTTCTTTTGGCTGCCTTTTCAAACCATCCAAAAAGGGTATCCTGAAAAAGAGACACACCCAAATGCCTGTCAAACAAACCTGGACGTGGAGGCCGAGGGCAACGTCTTGCCAAGAGCAAAGCCTTACACTTGCGCGCTCAGCGCCACGCTCTCAGCACAGGGTTTGGGAAACAGTCCTGGCGTCAAGCTGTGCGCATCTTGGATTTCAGCGGGGTGGGGGTGGTGCAAACAAGGTTTGTCCGTCGCATCTGGTTCTTTGCGGAGTTTTGACCCATGCTTCCACAGGAAAACACGGCAACAACCCGGCATGTTCAAGGATTGCGCGATACACAGGGCAGGTTTGACGCTTTTTGTTGGCTTTGGACAAACAGAACTCCAGCATCGCACCCTACAAGTTCTTCTCTTTGTCGAACCACGAGTTCCGTGCCCCACGTCCAAGTCTTTTGCTGCGTGAGGAAATGCAAGCAAAGAAACCATCACATCGTGAAATCGCCACATCAGGACTTTCAGATTGTGACCTCTGGAACGCTGACAGACATGTCCGTATTGTCTGCCTTTTTCAGACCATGCTTCAACTTGTGAAGGGGATCACGACATCTCTCTGCGCTACCTCTCAGACTCAAGCGGTGGGCCCTCGGGGAAAATTAAAAAAAAATGAGAAAAAAAAGAAGAAGAAAAAAGAAGGAAAAAACTGAAAGTCTGAGTATGGATATCCCCTGCCCCACGCCTTTTCACCCAGAATCACCAATGGAAAGTGTGCGTTTTCCCGAGGCTCCAAGGAGGCGTTGCTGCCCCTGCGGTGGCAAGCCATGTTGAAATGCTCTATGCTGATTGCTTTTGGGATACACATTGCAACCTAAATGACACATATGGGCCAGTTTGCTGCCTCGTGTCAGATTTTAGTGCAAGCTGCTCTTGAGGACAATATCTTCGGGTGCTGTCGCAATGCCACAAGACGCGCTCTGGGCTGCCTCAGATCCCCTGCTAGAAGTTTAACTTCTAGTGGGTTGAATGAAAACCCAACCACTAAACCCTAGAAGCCCAAAAGCCGAAACACCTAACGGGATGGCAGGGACTACCAACCAAGTCTTGGTCAGACAAACAAATCAACTGAGACCTGAGGCTCGAGTCAAACTTCTCTCCAAGGTGGAAATGACCCTTCTGCAATACCATGACTAAGTCACTTTGAAGGTGGGGTGCCTTGGTATCTCAAACAGGGATCCGAAACCCAACTTTGGCGTGTCTCTTCAGGGGCATCCCTTGTGTTGAGTCTCAATGTGAACCAAACGGAATTGTCCACCGTGGGATTCCCTTTTTTCCACAGCCACAAAGTCCTTCATGAACTCTAACTGGAAGATGGGCGGCACGAATGTGATCGTCTCGGATCGCCGGCTCTCTTTTCAAGGGCAATCGTCTTAAAAACTGACTTGGGCGTTTTAAAATCGGGGACTCCCGAAAGATGGTGTTGTTCCTTTTGGGTTGCCTTCAAAGCCACCAACTCCAAAAACAGGCCGACCATTTAAAGCCATAAGGGGAGCCACAGGAATTTCATGGCCGATTTGTCTGGTGCAATGGCTCTCCATGAGTTGGCTCAGAATTGACACGCTTTGTGGGTCTGTGTGTTTTGGGGGACCCACAAATGGTGGTTCCTTTTTCGGCTTCCCCGCAAAAAGACAAAAATCCGGCAGAAGAGCCGCTCCAATGGATGAGCTGCCAAAGCTAAAACAAAACAGCAGAGTTCCCAACAAAGCCATGTACCCTTCCTCCCACAAACACGGCATTTGTCGGGTATCTGGAAGATGTGGCTCCTCTTAAGGGGAACCCCCCTTGTCCCCCCCCTTGTCACATGCCAAGTTCTTGGGGGCAAGGGTATGAATCCAATAAAAACAAACCAAAAAAAAAAGGAAAGAACAAAAAAACAGGAGAATATTTAAAAAAAAATGGCTGAACCAAGAGGCCCAGTCCCATGGCCCCTTTCTCCGCAAATGCCCAGTCCCAGGGTCCCCTTGAAATGTCCGATTTCCGAGGCCGGCGCCACCAGCCACAGCACACCCAGCAGGGAGGCGAAATCTCCCAGGAGCTCCTCGGCGCTCGGAAGGACTCGGAAAGAACCCGTGGGGTTCAACCACCCCGATACATCCTGACCAATCCAAACCACCAACGGCTCATGACACTCCATTGGTGGTTTGTGTAATGTTGACCAGACTTGGACCCCCCGGAAGGAAAAAAAGTCAAAGACTTGTTGCGGGAAAGGAAAAATGATGGAAACCGAAAAGTTAAAAAGGTAAGCTAAGTCCTACGCAAATTACTGCGCAGGGCCAGTGTTTTGGGACCAAGCTCCGACTCGGGTCCCGGTAGCCCAACTTGCAAACTCGGCTAAACCCAAACCCCAAAATCCCTGAACCTAAAATCCTAAACCTAAACCCTAAGACTAGCCGCTAAGCCCTGTGGTGGACGCATAGATGGGGTTATTGAACCCAAAAGAAAAACAACCAGGCGTTTCTGAAGCATGGGTTCAGCAGAAAACAGCGCCCAGATCATTTGGAAAGGCGGATCCAAAAACTGGATCCCATGTAAGGAAGGAATCGATCAAATGCAAGAAAAGTCGTCTGAGCAGGTCAAGTCAACGGCTGAGCGCGCAACCAGGACCGGCAGCATTCGGCAAAAAATGCCGGCCAAGCTCTTCCAAATACCCAGCTTGATCAGACTCTCCTGCGTTGGGTAAGACACAACCGGAAGCCCTCTGCCAAAATAATGGAGAGCACAGTCCATCACCTGTCAGGAGTCCATGCTCTTTTTATTTCCTTGAGGCATAGAGGTCCGGCCAAAAGGCATCACCGCCAGACTAACGCGGCACAAACGTTCCCAAAAGCTCCCGTGACCATCCCTTGTACACGCGCTTGAATTTTTGAGAGCTAAGACTGCACGCAGGCAGACTCGTCAAGGTGAAGAGAATACTGTTCGGCACTAAGATGCAAGGCAGACATTGTACTCAATTGCAAGTCTGAGTAGACTGGCCGACACAATTTCTCAAGAAGACTCGGATCACACAAAGCCAACCCACAGAGCAGACTGTGGGGTTGTCTCAAAATAGGGGAACCCTGAAAATGGGTGGTTTCCCTGTAATTTCCCTTTAAACAACTCGAAAACAAAGTACCCTCAAGAAATATTCCAGTGTGTCAGGGAAGGAATCCATTGAACCAGCATCGACCCCAAAGAGCCAAACAGCACACATCAAAGCGTTGCTGGAGACCATGTCTGGGCAGCTACTGTAACTGTTTGGGGAAAAATAAAACTGGATAAGACTTAGAGCACGGAACTAGAATTCCAGCATCCAACCTGTCAGAAGGATGTCAGGGTCTGCCGTCAGCCCTCACCCTCCAAGAGTGGTCTGAATCCCCACTAAAAGGGTTCACATTCCCCACCCTTTACACGGTGCCCATACCTTGACCTTTCTATGTGTCCAACTGAGTAGTTCGAACTGGGGCCTTCCCAATGCGGGTGTGTCTTAAAATTGGGGAGCCCTCAAACTGGCCTCGGGCGTCCTTTTGGTGTCCCTTCAAAACCCAAAGAAGACGAGCCATGTCCTCTGGAAGAGATCCGAAGTATGCCATGGAAGGGGAGAGCACAAAGGCGATACCAGCCTGCGAGGAAAAACACAGGCGAAGAAGGGCCGTCCCAAAATGAGTGGCGCGTCATTTGTTGAAGGAAGAATAAGGGGAAAAGCAAAAGGGAAACCATCACGTCCTCAAAACAAAAAAGAAGCTCCCAAAACATCATTTGAAAGCGGAGATGGCATATTTCTGAATCGCGAGCACATAAGCACAAGTTGAAAATGGATCTACACCATACCAGCATGCTATGTGTTGCGGACTTCCAACACCTTGCGGTGCATTGCTTTACATTGCACACATGCCTATTGTACTCACAAAAAAGTAAGTTGGGCGTGAATAGTGCTCGGATGGCCTGGACGAACTGAACAATCATCAAAACCTGCATGATGAAGGCGGCGTCGCAGAAGGCGCAATGATCGCACCTCAAGCATGCAAGAAAGCCAAGTGACTCTAAATAGTCATGATTACTGTGCCTCCGACTCGCTGAATAAACTCTTAGTATTCCCCCGCAGTGCGGGACATGCAACCCAAAAAGTATCCCCTGTTTGCGCGAATCTCCTTTCGGCAAAGGACGCCTTTTGAGGATTCCTTCAGATTATCTGCCGAGCTATGGATTGACCTCAGCTTCCTGGGAGTCTGAGGCTTGCGCGTACATGCTTGCCGCCTCGCCGGCATCTCCCCCCTGGCAGAAAAAAGTCCTTTAGGCACAGTCAAAGTGGCCAAGGCGTCCCGAAGTCGACATGAGAAATTCAGGGAGCCCGATTTGTGTGGGGAAGTTTTGCAAGTTTCCCATGCCCCCCCCCCCAACAAATGACCCATAGACTGGAAAGGTTGACGGAACCTATTGAGACGCCACGTTCGTGGAAGGCAATGGTTCGTGGGCGAGGAGCAGGTTAAAAACCACAATGCTATATAACTGTGCATCTCTGACACTCGGAGCACAAGTCCCGCCTGCATGTGGTCCCTCCGCATGTGACTATTCGGGTCATCATCCCAGGCATGCACTGCGCAGGCGGACGCAAAAAGCGCTTTCACTGGTACCGAATCCTGGTGCGTAGGGTCCAGACTCATCTTCTTTCCACTGTCTCAAATGGGTCACGGTTCTCCAAGAGGACATCAAAAGTCCTGAGTCCCTTGGTTTGTGGGGGGGAAGTTAGTGAGTTTCCCAGGTCCCTCCCAACTGGACCATAGAATAGAAGCGTTGACCATGCCGCACATGTCTTGTTGGGTGTGGTTTGGAATCCAGCACACCTGGCCTGGTCATAGCATTGGCATGAGGACCACTGCCCAACTGTCCACGCAGGTGCATCGTTGGATGTCGCCTTGGCACGAACATTTGCGGAAAAAAGGTGCTTGGCATGTGCAAAGGTTCCAACAGTAGCACACTCTCACTAACAATGTGTCCCGCAAAGCAACCGAAAAATCAGGTTTAGCCCATGTGAGCCTCTCCTCCAACTGGATCACAACATGATTGGGGGCATCTAGTGGTACATGTGCTGCAATGCCAACGCGAGAAGCATGAACACCGTGCCTGAAGCATTCGCGGTGTCACGTCGGCCTCAAATGCAAAGGACCAAGGATGGCACAAGCACAGAACCGAATCTGGCATGGAAACACTGGATGTTCAACTCAACTCACAGATTCCTACGACAGGATCGCGCTTTGAACTTCTGGCAGCATGCTTGGATCACGCCGAGTTTTGGAGGATCCCCGCCTCATGGCCGCAAGGAAGCTCATCCCTCAGTCAACGCATCTTTGAAATGGCACAGCACGTCGGGATCTTGAGTATGCCGAGTGATGGATTCCTGGGTTTTGACACTGGCTTCATATGTTCAGTGGGTAGCCTGTAGTGGGCGCAACTCCCAAGGCCTTGGGCCTATGAATCCGTTTGCATTAAAAACATGGCACCCCGGAATTTTGAACCCCTAGTAGGTTGCCACTTTTGGAGCACCGCTTTATGTTCATCCGGGGTCAATCTAAGAACCAACTTACCTACCCCACCCCCAAATTGGTGATTATACATGGGTTATATAGGGTACGTGCCCCAAAATCCATCCCTATACAAGGCCTTTAAGTGCGATATCTCCATGTGGGGTATGTGAGCTGGCCCTTGCGGTCAACATTAGTACCAAAGTAGTCTCCACACCTCTGGGTCCCAGGCAAACTGTCCAGCCTCCGTCCTGGCGCAAGGATTAACCCGACTTCCAGCCGACGAACCTGAGAGCAAGCTATGGGTGAGATGTGGGCACTCGGTGTCATTCAAGCTCTGAACACCCGCAGTTTGTGGCACCTGAGATTTTTTTTCTAGGGTGCTGTGGCTGCAGCCACGCCATGTCTTTGGCCTAGTACCTAACCCGAACCCTGCTCAGAAGACCTTTGTCCGGTCTTGATTCCACTGTCATTCGACTTTCCGAAATTAAGAGCTGCCAAAACTGTGGACTGCGCTGGCCTGTCGTATTGCAGTAGCCTCAGTGCATGACATGGCCAGATACTCGTGGGAAAAAGCTCAGGCTGGGGCTCGGAGTGGCTTCATAGTATGAGCATCCATTCAGCCTTGGTGACAAGTGCTGACTCAGCGACCTTCTCAAAGTCCCCAGAACTCCGCAAAAAGAAACACGCCGCGCTGAGCCAAGGTCAGAAGGTTTACACCGCAAATGCTGTCTATAGCCGATTTGGCCTGAGAACATCTCAGATTCAGGTGTTTCAGTTCATGCAAAAACGCGCCTCGGTGCCAATGTCAGACAAGAGAGTCTCACACGGACACGACAAAGATGAAGAGCTGGCACAAAAGCGTCGGAAAGCTTGTTCAACTGTGAGGTCGAGCGCTGACACCCCCTCAGCCCGCCTCTTTGCTCCATATGTATCTGTGCAGTTGTCTCCCTTGTTCTCAAGGTCCGACTGAAGGTACAACTCAGTACGCACTGCATGGGATGCTTTGGTGTTTGTCTGTGGGTGTGTGGGACTTGTGTGCGTGTGGGTGTGTCAAAAGTGCAATCGTTGTCATCACCATTCGTTTCGCTTTTCAAGACCCTCAATCTTTACACAAGAGCCCCCACTGTTGGTGGGACGACGGCGTCATGTCATCTGCTGCATCACTCTATGTCAATATATGTGTTGATGTCTGAACAACGGCTTCGACTGAGAGCCCGACTGCATTTTGCAAAACCCGGCAGTGGAAGGTCTTGCAATCCTGCAAATCAGAACTTCCCGTAAGGCGCTTGATCAGAATACTCGGGAGGCCACGCCTTGATCGGCTTGGGGTTGCTTTTGTAATGGTGGGCCACCAAACCCCCCGATGTCACAACACCCCAAGTTCAATGCTGAAATCTGCAGAAACCAAGGGCCGCCATTCCCGTTAACCTTCACATCGCCGTGTCCCGCCTGACCCACCGCCGTTGAAGTATCAGCAGCGGCGGTGCTCATGTGAATGATTGCATCCACCTTCCAATTACCGAACGCGAGCTGGTTGCAGGTTCATCCGTCAAGATCTTTGCGAAAGCAAGTTCACATCTCGCCTGATGGCATACGGGAGTGGTGCCCGTGTTTTTGAGTTGCTACCCGTTTTGGAGTGGTGTCAAAGGGAAGCCCACAGGAAATCACCTTTGTGGGGGGGTCCCCTAAAAAAGAGACAAACACATATTGCCAACAAAGCGGCGATCTTCTTATGATTGTATTTCAGCTCAGGTCGGAACCGGGCTTGTTGCTTGTTTGATCACGTCCAAGCAGGCCTTGCACCATTGCTCATTCCATGCAGTCTGAGTTGTGCATCATGCGATGTGGGCATGTGTCAACGAAGGACCCCAAAATGGCGGTTTTCCTTTTGGTATCCCTTTAAACCTGAAAGGGTACCCTCAAACAAGTACACACCCATGCAGAAGCTTGCCGCACTGCAAACACGTCAACCATGGCCTTGTCCAGCACTGCACCAGCCAATGCCTTGCAGCACATTTCCCGCCAGTGCCGAATGTCGAACTGAGTTCGAACTATTCGAGCTATTCAAGTTCCTTTATGTCCGACTTCGTCTGTCAACAAATGCTGTGGCGTGCTCGGAGGAAGTGATCTTGCTCTCTATCATTGGCACTTCAAGTTCGCTGCATGTTCATTAGCATTCACTTGATCAAGCTCTCCCCAGTATATAAGTGATAGGTTCAAGAGAAACATCCCCAGTTTCTGACTTTGACCCCCAAAACCAGTCAATGATTTTGACCCCAGAAGGAATCTGGGACCGCGCCTCGTAGTAGGAATCGGACGACGTGAGGGCTTCCTGTGCGGAACCCCATCCGCGCAATCCGGGCCCCGAGTCTCAGAGCCCGCGAGCCTCGCGCCACGTGATGTTCATCGCGCCTCGACACCGCACCGACTCGCGAAGCAAGCGAGGCGGTCCGCATGTGATGTGTCAAAAGAAAGATTTGATCCGATGGCGGTTTGCCGGTTGGTGACCCTTTCAGCCCACCTGAAAAGGGTACACCCAAAAAAAAATAACAGCCATGTGAGAGTTGTTCAGGGAGATCAGCCAAGGCACTGCGATAGCAATCGCTGGCGCCACAGAGCAGATTCTGTGACGGGCATAACTTGCAAGTCGACCTTGGATCAAGGATGCAGGTGACAGGCAGTGAGCGGAAGCGTTTGAATGCTAAGTCTCGCACCCCTCGTACCTCACCTGACAGAAATGAACATAAACCCGTAGACTCTGCCACCAACATGCAGGGGGTGTTTTGACATATCAACCCCGAAAAGGGGTATGGAGAAAAAACAGCGTATCTTTTTTCGGCTTCCCTTTAACAAGACCCACCACAAAGAGGACCTACCCAGCCTTGCACAGGCCTTGCTGGACGACACCTGCGGCCAGCTGCAGGAAAATGCCTCGGGCACACATAACAATCGCCGATCCAGCCCGGTCGCACAAAGAACCCACGTGGAAAGCAGTGGATTGCAGCGCCCTGAAAAACACCCTTCAAATGCCGCAGAGATAAGCTCAATTTGCAGTGCCAATGCCTTTCAGTCAGCTCCCGGCCAGTTGCAAGGTAGAAGCACCCCGCCCTTGCCACGCCGCATCAAATGTCTAGTCTATCTGGGTATGTCCGTTTTTAGGGGACCCCCCAAAATGTGTCCCCCAAAATGGTGGGCTTCTTTGTGGTTTCCCTCTAAAACCACCAGAAATGGGTACCCTCAAAAAAGACACACCCATCTCAAGTCAGCGCTTTCCTCAGGCAGGAACCACATGAAGTAGCCAGCAGTGTTGGGCACCAACGCGAACTGGCACCCAATTTCAGCACACCCCAACTTCAGGTTCTGTCAAAAGTTCCACCACAAATTGGAAGACCATCGTGGTCATCCAAGTCTTCATCGCCCACTGTGTGTATGTCTTCTTGAGGGTATCCCCTGTGTGTGTGTGTGTGGGAAACCAAAAGCAAAACCGGCAAAACCCACCGTCTTGGGGGTCCGATACCTTAAGGGCACGGCACCGCTAGCCTAGAAATCAAGGGTCGCACAGAAGCTTTGGTGGGTGTGCCTGCTTTTCATGGCAAAGTTCCTTAAAAAAAGCGGCGCTTGTCTTGTGAGAGACTTTTGGAAGGTGCCTTTGCAGCCAATATACCCAGCACAGGCCTTGACAAAGCGGAGCGCGCTCCTGTCAAGTGATTCTCCAAGGAGAGATCGGCAGATGGAACCAACCAAACACCAATCACACAGAACATCTATCCACGCTGCAATGATTCGGAAGAGAAACACTCGATTCGGGGCTGCTGCTAGTTTTTGCCACACACCTTCAAGCTACCCATGCGGTAGACCCATGATTGTGGATTCATGATCTTTGCAATTTCTTGAACATGGTGTCATCACTATGGTTTGTACTTCCAAGGTAAAGTCATGCACAAAAGGGTTTCTCCGTCTTAAGAACCAGAGGGTGAAGCCAGGATTTCAGCCTTTTTCACTCGGTAAAGAAAGGACACAGCCACGTAAACCAGGAAAACGGCTGAATATTGGATTCGTGGCTGCGATAGAGGTTGATTAAGTGCCTTCAACCACGCGCACGTCCTGAATGCCTTCGCAGCAATACGTGGCTTGGGCTTCTCCTGCACGCGAGCGCATTGGACGCTGTCGATGTTCAGGGGGCCCTTAGGGCCCCCCAAATTATTTTGACTTCCTTTCAATTTGGGGGGCCAACCCCACCCGAAGAGGTGGTGTATCAAGACCCCAAGCCCCCCCCCCATACGTTTTGAACACCGACCCCCTTTAGCGCATTCCAAGTTCAGCCTGCCTCCTGTACCAGCACCATCGCCACAGATGATGTTTGAGACGGACAAAACCAGGACTTGCGTGGGTCTGGTTGTGGGATCGCTTTTTTGGGTGACCATCCATCGCCTCCGGAAAAATTAACCACAGACTATCAGTGCTTTTGTCCGTTGCTCATGTGCTGTACATGTTTGAGTTGCAAAGTGAAATATGAAATATCTGCTGGTCGCCAGGCTTTGTTCAACTTGCTTAAATATCACTGGGTGCTCTGTCATCGTGTCTTGAAGCCTTACGCCAGAAAAGGCCGGTGTCTCAGATCATGTGGATTCAAAGCACCAATGTCTTCTGGAGGCTTTATCCCATTGACTTGTCCTCCAAAGCGCCCTTTTCGCCTCTGCGAGCCCCATGTGTGACTTCCACCTGTGACAAGCACCACGTCTGGCCCTGGAGACAACACGAAGACCACGCCATCAGACGACTGGCGGTGGCTTGAAGAGGAACTGCCTCGAAGCCCGCCGCAAACTTCGGCAAGCCGAACTTCTCCGAACAGCGCTGCTCGTTCAGAGCGTCCCGGGTGCAGAATCTACCCAAATCACACCTCACGGCAGATTTCAACCCAAATGATCAACCAAACAATTGGTCCCTTCCGCTCCAAAGAAAACACAAAGAAAGAATCAACAACGCAACGGCCTATGACTTTGACTCTTTTCAGGGCACCTAAGTCAGAAACCGGGGAGTGTGCTTCCTTTTGACCTACCACCTGTGATACGGGTGCGTCTTGTTTTGAGGCTCGCTACACTTTTTGAATGACAAAGGGAAACCAAAAGTACAAAAATCCAACCTCGAGGGTCCCCCATTTTTCCTTTTGGCTTCCCTTCAAAAAAAAAAAAGACGCACCCATATAGGTGTGGGTCAAAAAAAAAGTACCCTCCGGTATATAAATGGAAACAAGGACCAAAACCTGCGGTCCACTTCCTGGTGGTTTTAGATTCTGACCCATACACGGGAAAATCAGTGGCAACACATCTCGGCGAGCCGCAGGGCAGAGCCTTCCGTCGCCTTCGCTTTCGCCCGCGCGGCGAAAGCCCCGAACTCCGCCCGCAGGCCGAAGCTTCGGCACAGCTCTAAGGCGCCGGTGGAGGCGGCATAAGCGCGCAGACCGCCCGGCCTGACGCGGCCGAGGGAAAAAGTAAACCGGGTGTTGGGAAGGAACCTGAGGTGGATGCCAGGAAAGGAAACCAGAGTGGAGATGGATATGGGTCATTCCAACTCATTCCCTGAGAACCAGAAGAAAAAAAAGAAAAGAGAAAAAACAACTCCCCCTACAAATTAGCATGGAACCCACAACGGAGGCCCAAAAAGGAGATTCCTCCAAAAACAAGGTTGGGGTCCATGTTAATCTGTAGAGGATGTCTTTTCTTGGGGACCCAAACAATTGTGTTGTGTTCGTTTGGTCTTACTTTAAGCCCACCAAAAAACCGGGGTACCCTGATTAGCCGTCACCTCAGCCACGTTTTCAGCCATTGCCGCCCTCTCCTGGCAGCGATTGCCAGCTGCTGCGAGAGGCGCTTCAGCATTTGCCGCAGCAGCTGCGGGCTCTGAGGCTGGCCGGTGGCCTCCGTTCGCCCACTTTTGCGATGAAGACCCAGTCAACCCCTGCGACTAAAATGTGGGACGAAACACCGGGGACTTGTTCTCACCGATCTTTTTTGGTGGACTGACCAAAGAATGTCAGCAACTTGGTGGTTTGCCACTGAAATGGTCGGAACCCCAAATTGACAACAGTCCAACTCAGGGAGTGTGTACTGTTTCGACCTTCGGTTTCTTTAAGAAATGTCAAAGGAGATGGTTGTGCCACTGGCTGTGTCTTTTTGTTGAGGACGACTCCAAATCTAGTCCGGGTCCGTCTCCTTTTTGCGGGCACCCCCACCTTTTTGCTTGGGATTTCAGGGAAAACTACCTCCCCCCCCCAAAAAAAAACACAAAAAAGACACCCTCTTGGGGTGGTGACCCCACCCCTCGCCTCCAGGCAGAGGATGGCCTGCTCCAGGCACACCGCGTCCAGCGCCCCCCGGCCTTTGGCCGCCAGTTCCAACGCGCGGCGCCAGGCGCCGCAGAGCCGCAGGCTGGACAGCACCGAGCCATAGCCTCGGCTCTGGGGGGGGGGTCGAAACCCACTCCCAGTAGATTTCCATGGAGGGGGGGGGAATGGGATGCATCCAACTTTTTGTTGATGGAGGTTTAAGGGGAACACTTCCCAGAAAGGAGGGAATCAACTGGGCAACTGGGTCAACTGAAACCAAACCTACCCAAAAAAGGGACACCCAAAAGAACGGTCTCATTTCTGTTGGTCCAGGGCAAACAGAAGAAGCAAAAAGTTCCCACAGGTCCCAGTAGCCCACAGGGCCCACGGGGCCAGGGACAGCTTGGCTCAACAAATCCACAGCGTGCTCCCAGCAAGAGGCTTTTTCACACGAGCTCATGGCTGTGTTGTAGCTCACAAAGTCAGCATGGCCCGCACTCAGAGCAGCATGTAGGATTTGTAAGGCCTGGTCCCACCTGGATGACTTCTCGCCTTTGCACAAGCATAGGCCAATCTTGGAAGTGGGCTGACAAATATGGTCCTACTAGCTTTGCTTCAACACAGCAAAAGGGCGCTTGACAACCATCGACCTGAAATGGGAGTGTCTGTTTGTTAGGGTACCCCTTTCTTAGTGGTTTTTAAGGGAACTCAAAGGAAAAGCGTTGCGCCATGTTGGAGGGTCCAAATCCTAAACAAAGGACGAGCCACGCAAATGGATTGAACGCATATACTCAATGCTGGACTTCCGCCTTCACCAACTCAGTCCCCGGCATGCACTGATGCAAGCGCCAAAGCCGACAGCATCCAAGGCCAAAGTTCTTCGAGACATGCTGCCCATGAGCTGCGCGGCATCTTCCATCCGTCCTCCTTTCTCACAGGCAGTAATGGCCTGAGAATTGTCAAACAAAATCTCGACTACTGCTTGTTGCGCTCACTGATTTGCATGTCTAAGGTTTAATCTGTTGAACTTCTTGCGCTCGCAGGTGTTCATGTCTAAGGCAAGGTAGTGCAACAGCATGGTGCGCGTCATGTAGCTCCATGCATTACACTGCGCATCTAGTACAGGATATATCGTATAGTCGCATTATATTACATGACATGTCCAATGAGCTCCCGACGCACGGGATGGCATAGCAACTAGATGTGGCACACACAGATTGCAGGTCACAAAATCAAACAACCTGAAAACATGCCACAAGACATCGCGTGACACCACACTTGTTGGTGGACTTGAAGGGAAGCCAAAAGGAAAGCCAAAATCCATCTTGGGTGTCCTTTGTTAAGGTTATCTCTTTTTGGTTGGCGTCAAAGGTTGCAACCAAGACGACATCCGAAAACTGCCATTTCGGGTGGGGGGGTGGGTCGGATCCCTATTTGCTCTATTTTGTGCTCAAGAAAGGATTGCACCCAGGGTATTGCGTTCCGATGGGACCAAACAAACAACGTTGAAAGGGTCCAAATCCTACACCATCGCATCATTTTGAAACCAAACCCCCAGGTTGGGGCCCGTCCAAATCCCATCGATCGGAAGCTGAGGCTCGATGCTGAAGCTGGCCACATCCGGCCCCATGCGCCGATCCAAGTCCCAAAGCAGCTGCAGGGCCTGGTGCCATTGAGCGCCCCGCGCGCAGGCGCTCATCCCGGCGTTGAAGTTGAGCCTGTCCTGGGATCTGGGATGTCTCCGTGTGCGTGTTTTTGAGGGGCCCCCTTTTTTAGGCTGGTTGATTCTGCATGTTTTTGAGGGTACCAACTTTTCGGGGTTGGTTGATTTAAAAGGAAGCCAAACGGAAAACGCCTGTTTCAGGGGTTCCTGACACACCCACTTTGATTTGCAAGGCCATGGGGGAAAAAAGAAACACAAGCTCCAATCGCGAGGCCATACATTGGTGGGTGTAAGTTCCGACCTGACACGGATTCATGGACTGGTGGGGCAACCGTGCTTGGATTCGATCTCCAAAAACTTCCGAGCTCGATGAAACTTGAGGCCACAAACTTCAGACAGGCTACTGGAATCACGCGGATCTGACTGCTGCAGCTCAGAACGGCCAATGCCGTTTCCCACCTGGCAGGGGGAAGACCCTCGGATGTTGGTTTCAGTCCGCTTTGCGGTCCTTTGGAGCCTTCGAACTCAGATTTTTTCAACATACCCCGCCCACACTGCCGTAGAACCTGACGGAGGGTTCCTGGAAGTCTGAATGCGGCCTTTTGGTGTTTGTCTTTTGTTTGCGTGGTTTTTAAGGCACAACAATTATACATCTAAATGCATCTCAAAAAAAGGAGAACCCCCAAAATGGGCGGTTTACTTTCATCGCCTTTAAAGCCAAGAGTACCGAGCCTCAAGAAAAGACGAGCCACCCACAAGGGGTTCCATTTGTTGACTACCTGCAAATAGACTTCACAAAATTCCCTTTTTGAGGTACAGTCATTATGGAGGTCGTCAAAAAGTTCTGATCCCTGCACCCACGCGTTTTCGTGGTTTCCTTCCTTCGTCCCAAAAAGGAGAGGACAGGTTTGCCTACCTGCCTGGAGGCCTCTCCACAAGCCGACGTCACCAAGCTCACAGCTTTCCCCAGTTCCCGCGTCGCCGACATTGCACGCGCCGAGAAGAGGAGGGCACACGCGTGCCTGCGCGGGGGAGCAAGACGAGCAGTCAAGGCGAATTTTGTTTCAGGGGAAGACTACCCTCCGGTCCACTCACATGGAACACAGGGGTGTGCTAAGTTCCTTTAAAATCGGCTTTTTGGTGGGGTCCATGTTTGTGGACCGGAGGGTACTTGTAGCAAAAGCTTCAAGTCTAGACTCCCATAGAAGACTTTAAGAAAGCTTGAAGCTTGAAAGAAACTGTCTCACAGTCTCCGTGCATATGGCCTCATGAAAAACTGCAGTCTCAAACTTTGAGCGGAAACTCACCTGGTACATGTGGAAATCCTTTGCAAAATTAATTTCCAGCTTGTCCAAGTATCCAAGCAACCCCGTCCACCCATCCCTGTTCAGACTGGGCGCTGCCACTGACCAGCTCGTGCAAGGGCGCCAAGAACATCCGTCAACCTCCGCGCGTGGAGCCAATTCAAATTGGGCTAAAACAACCCACGGGCAGAGTAGGACTCTGCCGGCTCTATGGAATGCGCTTCCTCCCACTAACATAGCATTTGTGCGAGGCTGCCTGGAAGATCCATTTCCTCCTTCAGGGACCCGTCTGGTGCCATGTTGGTCGGGAGGTTGCTAAGGTCCCCCCCATCCGTTCAACCAAGGATGAGCATTTAGGTGTGGGTCAAAATTAAACCACCTGCAAACCTGTTTTAGTCATGGCTTCCATTTACCAGGGTTCCGTTTTGGGTACCCATTTTCGACCCACAGCCATTTCCCCGGAGAAAAGAAACGGGAGAAAACCAACTCACACTTCACCTGCAAACTCCGAGGCGCAGCTTCGAGGCAGGCGCCCTGGTCAAGAGGCCAATGGCCGACCTATGCCAGAGCGCCTTGAATTTTCCATGTGAGACTGGGCAACTTGGCGGCCAAAATGTCATCCTCTAGCCAAAATGTCATCTTCTAACATGTCAAGGGCAACTTGGCGGCAGTTTTTGTTTGTCGTCAAGCCACTGCCACTGCACCCCGCGGGCCAGCGCGCGCGCAACCAGTGCAGAGGACTGGTCATCAGATTCCAGGTGCAAACTGAGAGCCTCGGCAAACCAAGGCCCGGCCTGTGACACGCACGGCACGCAAAATGCTGGCACTCTTGCAGGCTAAGCGTCAGGCTTTCTGCCAAAGACTGGCCTACGGCAAAGGATGAAAACTTCAGCAGGACAAATAGCGAAGAAAAGTGAACTGATGCAGGCGATAGGCAGTGTGGGATAGATCTGCCCAATCTACGCAAAAATATGAAAGCCCTGCCTTGATACACGCATCCATCGCAGCACGCTGCGTGCGCATGACATGAACCTGCTGCGAAGCAGAGTGCCTGCCGCAAGAATCAACTCGCTTGTCTCTCAACAAGCCGCAACCAGGTCTGCAGTGACGCAAACGCCAGCAAACGATGCTGCTCCAAGCGACCCAATCCTCATCCACGATATGTCAAACTAACACTTCGTTTTGAAGAACCCGGTATGTCTTTGCTTTATTTGAGACTACCCCTTTTCTTGGTGGTGATAAATGGAAACTGGAAAAAAGGCGCGCCATGTTGAAAGGTTTAAATCCTGAAACAGAGACGAGGCACCTGTATGCAATGCGGCCTGCCTGTGCCACTCCAAAGCCTGAAGCACTCCAGCCCAATGTGCTCCTTCTGCGCCTCAAAGCAGAGTTTGCGCCGTGGATTGCATGCCAAAACAGGACAAATCGGGCTTGAGGCTTGATTTTAACAAAAAGCAATGGTTTTAGAAAAGCCCAACCCGATGGTGTTCTTACAAAAACCCAATGCGAAGAGCCACAGTCTCAAACAAGGTGCATGCTGCTGCCAAAGCATTCCATGAAATAGCGTCAGGCAGCAGATTTGCCTTTGGCAAGTCTTGCAGCATAGACAGGGCCCTGCGGCGAGGCGAGGATGATACAGACGATCAAGCGCACTGCGGAAGTCTTGCAGCATTGCATGAAGCCAGAATTCCGCAACGGGTGTGTGCGTGTGTGTGCAGGTGGGTGTGCGGGCGGGCGGGTGGGCGGGTAGGCTGGGTGTTGGTGTGTGTATGTGTGGGTGTGGGTGTGCGGGCCGGTGGGGTCCCACTATTTTTGGAGCCCCACAACTTTGACATGCACCCAAACGCACTCCGATGAATCGCGCCAACGCCTGCGCCAATTCCTTGTCCGGATGAGAGAAGATGCGACGAGCGTGAACTGCCGGGTGTTCTTCAACCAGTTGTGCCTGCACCAGTCAAACTGAACCCATATCTAATAAACCGTTCCATTCACAGCGTGCTACGAACATGGCAACCTGTTGCTAATGCCCGCCACTTCAGCTCTCTTCCAGCATGCCTGAAGCTGTGAAGTGTCTTGCAATGCCAAGTTCGGCCTCAAATACGGAGAGGAGAAAAAAAGGAATACGTTACCTGGCGTTCACAAGGGTTGCCTCGAGGCTTGGTTGTTGCGGAGTTTTACGTCTGTGCGTTGGGGGTGATTGCTTGAGCTAGTGTTGGATATTGGGAAGTAGGTTTTGGGGTCTGGGGTTGTGTCTATATGCGGTCAAATTGTTAGCTCGATTTTCTTCTCCTTACTTTAGCAGGAGCATCATATTTACCAATCATTACGATGGAACACATTGGTCAAGGCTTGGATTGGCATCGTAACGGCAGCACTCCACATCTCATGTATCACTCGGAACCTTGTTTCCGCACATCATGCTTGCCAGTCTTGAGCTGTTAACAGCTATTGAATTCTTGGTTCAGCGGAAAAGGTGGTTGTGTGCATGCTGTGGTGTCGTTGTAAAGAACAAAGCCCTGGATGCCCAGGAAAAAAAGGGCAACCGTGCGCTCCCTGCCTGACCAACTCATCGGCAGCCCTCGTCAACGACTCGCGATCGCGGCCCAGAGGTTCGGCAAAAAGTTTCAAGAGCTGTTTCCGCCGCACCTGCCGGGCGCCACAATGGCAACCACTCGCCATGAAAGCCAGGGCTGCGGTTGAAATGGAATCCACTTCTGTGATCCAACGGAAAGGGCCTAACCCCAAAGACGAACCCCCCCCCCCAGACTTAAAGGGGGAGATTCCAACTTTGTATCACAGAAGCGGGGACAAACCGGGTACCCCGAGTGATCCCGCAACCACTCGCCTGCAGTGATGCGCTGGCAAGTCGAGATGTGAACATCGCCGCATGGAAGGTGACGGGTTTGTTTCACGAGTGCTTTGAGAAAGCAAATTCTGGCAAGCGGTCCGACATCCACATCGTCAGCTGCAGGCAATGCAACTTTTCCGAAAACAATGAACGCATGTGTTGCCGATCGGAATGTTGCAATTATGTGCATTCAGCTTGCTGTGCGTTCTAGACGAACAAACCACCAGGTAAAACATCCAGCATCGCGACAATTCCAAGTTCAAAAAAACATCATTTGACAACTGGTTATTTTAACAAGTCAAGTAGTTCATCATGACTAAACAAAATAAATTACCAAATATCTAAGACAAACAATTCAACATATGTGTCTCATGTGCTAAACATTTGAGATCAATTCAATATTGCATCTGTTCTTTGCAATAGCTCAAAACAAGAAACATAATAGAAATCAAATTATCAACATGGATGATAATCGTCAAATATATAATTCATGCCAATGGAAATGTCAAATATACAAAAGAAGATGTCTAATCAATATTTTACTATAATACAACTTCAAGCTGTTATATCGAAATGACTAATCATATTAGTATGTCTTAAGTAAAAATAGTATCGTTTATAATAGTCTACAGTACTGTCTTACAATCGATATAATAGTTAAATTGTTTTTGATATGTGTTAACATCTGTTGTTTGATGGTAGCAGTGCGGCGCAATTAACAAATGCAATACTTCATATTATCTTTTGATGCGTTCAGTAAAAGGGCAAACTTGCTTTCATCTGCTCGATGATATCCTGCGCAGGGGTTCAAATCTGCAATGTCACCAGCAAGCAAAGCTGCAATGCATCCGAGCGACATCGTTCAGCGGTAGTGAGCCACTTTCTCCGTATGCCAGGCAAATATCCACCAATGGCTTCGATCTATTGGCCATCTCCTGGCGGCGCCAGAATCGAATGCAAATCCAAAGCATTCTCGTTTCGCACTGCCGTCCTCCTCCAAATAAGCGTTCTGCACCACTTCCATTGGCGGGCAAGCCACGCGCAGTAGCTTGTCCTTGGCTGCGTTTGAGATGGAGGCAAAGCACGTGTGAGCAAAGTAAAGACGTATTTAGCTCCGACTCATTGACAAATCACCTGAGAATGGCGTCAACTTGAATCAAAACCAAAAGGAAACCAAAAGGAAACCAAAGATTTTAGGGGACCAATTCTATCTTGAGAAAGCAAAAGGTTGTTTCAGGCGGAAGCTATTTCGTCTCAGTTCCATATTTTGCCCTTGAACAGGTCCAACACGCACCTGTATTGTACACCTACCGAACTTGCTCAGTGCCCTTGGCCCCAACACACGCGGCCCATGTGCAACTCCCCATGGTCAAAAACTGCGATGGTCCTTCCCGTAATGGGTGTCATATTCATCAAGCAGGTTTCTCCATAGGAAATGGGGGTTCCCGCCATTTGTAAAAAACCAAATTAGGTGAGTGCGTGCGCTCAAAAAATCAAAATCCAAGGGTCTCGAAAATGCCAGGCACGATGCCGAATGATGGCTCACAGGTGGCAACAACTGGGCAACAAACTACTAATAACGAGGCAACAGCTTGGCAGTTTGCACTGGCCTTGCTTGTGAATATGGGTGTCTTTTGGTGGGGGTCCTTTTGGTGAGAACGCCCCCCCAAAAAAAGGACAAATTTAAGTGAACATGTTAAGGTTTTTTTGTATGAGGCTGGTCGTCTTCCATAGATGAACCCTGGATCTTCGGGTTGAGTCGTTCGGGCTCACGGGCAACTCGAGGTCTGGCTCCCAAAGTTGAGTCGTTCCAAAAATGGGCGCGCCTTTCTTTAGGGGAATCCCCGTTTGGCAGCTTTTAAAGGGAAAGCAAAGGGAGACCAACCATGAAGGGGTTCCCCCATTTTGAGACAAGCACAACACAGGCGAGCATCATCAACTGTTTCAGATGGTCACTACATGGTCAAAGCTGCATGCCCAAAATGATTTCCAAGCGGCATAGTAGTGGTCCAGCATAGATCTTGACTTGCCACCAGATGTCTGGTACCTCGCGTCCACACAGAGATGTCGGGTGAATTCTTGCCGACGTAGCGGGCCTCTCAAACCGCTCGCTTGAGGCAAATTGCCAGACTTCTTCCTGCCAAGCAAAAAGCATGGCGCATAGCACGAGGAAAGCCAGCATATCTCAGATGCAGGGTTCCTTAAAGCATACCAACCAAAACCGCTTGATCTACAAGGAGATCCCCTAAACTGGCTGATTTACAAGCAAATCCGTTTAATCAGCAGATTTCACGTGGCTCGGATGCAATATGTAGTGGGACCCTGTGCAAGGACAGACATTGCCCGGAGTCTCAAGTGTTAAGAAGCTCGGGTTCCTCGCTGCGCGGACGAGGCGTGTCTGGCAGCACCAGTGGAGCTCCAGTCTCGTTGTTGAACTGCCAACAGCCTTGGGCACTGTTTGGAACGTGCCGCCGCCCGCCAACTTCCAACCGAGGTTAAAACTTGACTTCTTTCAATTGTTGGCTAATGACAAATGAGACGGCCAACGGGGGCTTCACCCGGTCCCATACATTCATCAGATGAACTTGCCTCTGCTCCTCACTCGATCCCTCTTCCTAGCCCCAGATCCGCTCGGTGGATGTCTTCCCAACGCCACTTGGGAGGAAGGCTCGTGTGCAGACAGGTCGCGAATTATGCCAATGATGCCCGTGGCCTGTTGCCGTTGGCTTACCTTTAGATCGCTTGTGGCCATTTATCATTTGTTTTGGCGGGTTCCCCAACCGCACCTGGGAGCTCTGTATACAATACTAAAAGTGCAGCCAGTGCAGTGCAAGCAGTCTAGCCCGATCCAGTTGAGTCAAAGATAGGGACCCCAACCAAGTGGTGGCTTCGTTTTGGTTTCCCTTTTAAACTGCCCAAAAAAGGACTCTCTCAACCAAAAACCACTCGCCAACTCGCCTCCAATCTGTCCGCCCAGCGAGGCCACAGTAGCTCAGGCGCAGCAAGGGCGGCTTCTGGAACCGAATTCCCATTTGCAGAACCTGGGTGCAGGGTTCCATTTTTGACTAACTTGGACTTAAACCCAGGGGTGCTTGATTTCCCCTAAAGGGAAACCCCTAAATTTAGGTCTACCTGAGGGGAACTCGAAAAATGGAAGCCTGCCTGGGCGGCTCGCCCATTTTGGGAATGTGTTTGGGGACCCCATGTTGGTACTTTTCCTTTGGGGTTCCCTTCATTCCGACCCAAAAAGGGCGCTCTCAAACAACACAACCCCAAATAGGGATTTGGACCAACCCAAGATGGGCTTCCCTTTAAAGCCACCCAAACAAAGGAGTACCCCGTACCCCCCAACAAGACTCACACTCGCACCTGTCCGTCAATCAAGTAATCAGATTTCCAGGCCAGGGCAAAACGGCGACATTTGGCGTGCGGAGCATTCCAGTCAAGACTCATGATACAAGCCCAATCCTCATCGTGCTGAGCTTGCCAAAAACTAAACGCTTGAAACTCAGCTGCAACCATTCAAATGGATTTGTCTCAAAATAAGAACCCCAAAAAATGGCTTCGGTTGTCCCTTCGGTTTCGCTGTAAAATCATCCAAACGGTAATTGCCGACTCCAAAAAAGGCAGACCCAATTTTTGTAAACGGCGAAATCATGGGAAGGCTGATGGATTGTGGCCCAGCATCATGTGTTCTACATCCCCAATGATCTTCGGCTCGGCGCCAATGTGCGTCATGATCTCTCGAGCGTTCTCAGCCTATTCACAAAAAGAACACTTCGAGACCGGCGAGAGCGGGAGCTCACCACACAGCACTATGGATAGTTGCAAAATCCGTGCGCACCGCCGTTCAGAAACCCTGGTTTGTGATAAGTCCCCTGCAAATGCCAACAAACAATGGCTTCAACCACGGTTTCTTAGGTGGTGCAAAATTCTGCCCATCCACAGCATTAACATGCAGCCTTTCACCAAAAAAAAAACGACGCCAGACATCCGAGGCAGGCCTTGCTCCCGAAGAGCTTGCCTTAGAATGAGTTGACAAGTGGCAAACCTCTGCCCCCGAGCCTTGGAACTTCCTCGTTGCTCTCTGGAAGGTACGTCCAAAATCAAGGCGATGGGTGGGGTGAATGCATCCTCCATACCCTCTATCAATGGAAGTGCACCGGCCGTTTGAAGATCATGGTAAATAAGCCAAAACCCGGCGCACTTCCATGGCGGGAAGAGGGTAATTAAACCTCCAGCACGCCAGCCAGCTATCCATGCAAGCCGAGGCACGGTCATCCGCATCGTGCAGCAGGGCGGCAAGTCGAACCGCTTGCGTCCTCCCCTCCGGCAACGGGCGACCTCTTGCCAAGGCCTCCGGAAAATGCGCCCAACATGCCGAATTTGCATGGCAGAGTTTGCTTGATCCTCGAAAAGTTTGACTTGCGGGTTGAATTCGGAAACCCAAACTAAAAACAACTAAAAATCTGAGGAACCGGACGACTGGGAACCGCCAAGGTATGGTAGAGTGATTGGGCGGAATGCATGAAGGGCAGCCATGCAACCGCTTTTTTAACCGGATGAGACTTGTGCTCACTTCTTGCCCCAGGTGGGCCTCTCCTAAGCTGGCTGGGGGGAGCCCGTATTCAGGAGCGGCTCCCTCCGTTTCTTGGCAGCCCATTGGCTGCCCGCAAAAAACACGAGGACGAAGGACATGATCACGGTGTCGATTCGGAACATCAGCAATCCACCATCCTTCCTGTCCATGATCCAGCCACCCATCAGAGCTCCTGCTGCAGACCCCACAGCACTGACTGATGACATGAAGCCCTGAGCAGTGGAAATCATATGCATTGGGACATGATCGTTCAAATAGTGCACCGTGGCCAGAGTGAAGCAGCTATATGTCACGCCATGCAGTGGCTCAAGCACCATGATCCAGCCAGCACTGGGCACTATGGTATAGCCAAACACCCGCACAATAAAACCAATCATGGCGATTGCAATCAGCTTTGTCGGCCCCAGCTTGGGAACAATCCACTCGCTGTAGGCGAAAATCGGCACTTCGAACAAGACGGTGACCGTGACACTCAGGCCCATAACCACGTCTGTGGAGTGAAAGCGCTGCTCCATAAACAGAAACAAGAACTGGAAGACATGTTGCATTCCGAGCGCCATGGTGGCAGCGCACAACAGCCAGGCCACCATCTCCGGCTTTCCGCACACGATGCGCATCACCTCCCAGACCGAGGCTCGTTGCGGCGCCTCGTCCGCGCGCGCCGCGTCTGTCGCCTCGCTCGCCTCGCCGGCCACAGCCGGGAGCTGGGTGGCGGAGGCGGAGGCGCCTTCGTCCGTCCACTCCGAGCGGAGCAGCTTGCTGAAACAGGCCACGGCCAAGCAGCCACTCAGCACATTGCCCACGTACCTTCGGTTTCCAAACCCGGCAAATGAGACAACGACGACCCTTCTTGCCCAGGAAAAATGAGTCGGACTCCCACAGAGGCAAGAAGGTTTGAAAACAAAAACAAAGCAAACAAAAACCTGGTGGGTCAGCCAAGTCGCAAGAGGGTCAGGTTCTTGTGTGCCAAGTCCAAAAGCCAGCCCAGCACCGGGTGAGCGATGCCCCAGGACACCGCGCCCCAGAGTCGCAGGTTGCCATAAGAGTTCTGGCGCCCGAAACGCTCCAGCGCTCGCATGGCGATGCCCCGCAGCTGGCCATAGTCGTTTCCCCGCGCAGCGGTGTAGGTGACCATGATAAAGCAGCAGTACCTTCGGCCCTTTCAAAGGGCCTGGAAATACAAGGTCAACCTTTTGGAACCTTCACTCAATACTAAAAAGTGAACCTTTTGCAACCTTGACTGAAGATGAACCAAACGGAGAAACCAAAAGTCAAGTCGGGTTTGGCCAAGCGAGGTGCGCAAACCGTAGGCCGTGGTCGGCGATGTAGGGCGCCAAACACAGCAGCGTTTGGAAGGCCATGGCCGTGAAGAGGCAGCATGCCAGCACAAGCTTCCGTCGACCTGTGCGGTCTGCGACCACACCCCAAAAGGATGAGGAGGGGATGCTGGCGATGATGCTCAGCAGGCCTATAGTGCCAATCTCTTTGGCGTCCAATCCATAGGCTGTATAGATCAAGACCTGGAATCTCGCGAAAAAGCTGTAGTAGAGGAAAAGGCAGAAATAGCTTGCAGAGACTGCAAAAAATACGGGGCGATGGCTCTTATCGTTCTCTACTGCCATCTCTGGCTCGGGGAGTTTTGCGGATCAGTTCGAGCCAAGGCGGCTCGCCGTCGCAGTGTGGCTCTAGTGTCCTTTACACCATGTGTCAAAATAGGGATTTGGGCCACCCCCAAATGGGTGGTTGGTTTCCCTTTGAGTTCCTTGCTCAACGCCGAAAAAACTACACTCAGAAACAAAAGGACACACACACACACGCACACACGCATCACATGGCACACGTCACACGCCTGAAGACTGCCTCCGTTTTTTTGAGTAGCCCCACGTGCAGCCGAGAGCTGCAATCCTTTTTCCAGCGTCGAAGTCATCTTTCCATATTGGCATGAATTTTAATTGACAATCCTTTGGTGTAAGTGCACTGACATTAGCAACCCTTTTCCCACCGATGAGAGGTTTCCCCTTTTGACTCCCAATACGAAAGTAAAGCGGCCAAAAAGGTTTACCCAAAAAACCCTACCCAATCACTTTTTGGGCTCCCTATGGCTCCCCCCCGGTTGAAGGTACCCCCCTGCAGCCCCCAAGCGAAAAAAACAGCCAGAAAAGGGGTGTTCCTTTTTGCTTCGTATTCAAGCTTTTCCAAAATTGTGCTTCCCCAAAATGCCTTTGTCTTTCTAAAGCTGCTTTGTTTTTTCTCGTTTAATGGCAAGGTGTTCAAGCTCACAAAGGGAACCCCGCTTGGAGGCCAGCCCCCCTCATTAACAGCCCCCCCTTGAGATTAATCACAAAGAACTGTTGTTAGCCATTTAATGTCATATTGCCCAGAAGGGGTCAAGAAGACAAGGACCAAAGCGGTTTTCCAGGTTCCTGTTTCCAGTTTAATTAGCTGGGAAGGCGCCAGAAGTAGAAGGACGAGGACCGAAGGAGAACCAGATTCATCAGGGGGGTCCTCCAAAAATCCCAGTTTGGGGGCTTGTCCAAACCTTGTCTTGGGGATGGCCGTTACATGAGGTGGTGCCCTACTTACATTCATAGCCATACGAGTCATAAGTAAAACCTGGTATTAAGATGGTGTACCCAAACCAACCAAAAGAAATTTCACAGCGGATATCCGCACCTATTTCTGCTTGGGATCCCTAACCTTTACCCGGGTTTTGATTGCTATGAGCACAAGCAACTGCCCGTGCCCTGAGGCCCTGAGGCCCTGACCTGATCCACGTGATGCAAGACTCGCAAGGCGTGGCCAACGCCATGCGACTCCGGGACCGAGTGCGCGTGGCAAAGTGCCTGGCAGCGAACGAAACAGCCACGAGAGAAAACTTGAATTTGGGTCTGCTTGATAGACGCCATTTTTGCATGGGCCTTCCCCATGAACAATCATAGCCCATCATCTCTATGAATGGTGACTGAGTCAACACTTCGAGCACTCTTGAGATCAGGTAAACCAACAAAATTCAAGTGCTGTCGCGACCCAGGAAGAGTCAACCTAGTGGATTCATATTTCCCCAAACAGTCATCCCGATCTCTAAAAAAGGGACACCCCTTTCAAAACAAAATCAACCAGGAGTTTTGCCGAATCCACTTGGGGCTTCCCATGAAGTGTTTGATCGGTTGGACCCGGTTGACATCAGAAACCAGGGTTTGAGGACTTCCTGCCCAATGTGTTTGGCATAACTCCCCGCAGCCTCCAAGCCCTTGACAGCTGCATCCACCAAGAGGTCCTCAGAAAGCTTCGCGCGAAGCGACTTCGAGGCTCGAAACCGCGTCCCTCGCTGAGGGATCCAACCGCTTTTGCCAAGGCCTTGAGTCGGCCTCCCGTCATGGCACTTGGCAGAGTTGGAACAAAGGTTAAGACGAAAGCGAGAGGAAGCCGAAACCCATGTTGTGAGTCCCATAGTTTGAGCAAAACCCCGGATGGTCTAATTGGTCTGGTTGAAGTCTGCTGAAAGTCTAGTTGAAGGAGGCTTGAAGTCTGCCAGCCTGCTTGTTGCGTTCGGGCTGCTCTAGCAAACCTGCTGGAACTGTTTGATCTGATTGCGTTGGGCATCACAACTTGAGAACGCGGCTGGCAGCGGGGCAAATGTGTTCCAACAAGCCATACAAAAACTTCGACAAAAGCAAAGTGCCACCAGCTTAATCGACTCATGCCGGTCAAAGTGTCGCAGCTTGGTCTTTTACCCGACACGCGGCCTTTTGCCATCTTCAGAGCTTCGCGCCAAATCCTTTTGCTGAGCATGGTCGGTCCCCTTGGCGCCCGCTTCTCCAGCCGGATCCATTGTCCAATTTGCTCTTCGACCCTCCAGACCACAGCCATTGCGATTCCTTCCAGCCGCATCCAGTTGCCGATTCGCCATAGCGGCATTGCGCTTGTAGTATGGTCAATCAATTCGCATCTCTCTGCCGTTCCTCCCTTTTCGATCGATGCGACGTGACATAGTGGTTTCCCTTTCCTGCTTCAGCTGTGCTTTGAGGATTGATCAAAGCAGTCTTGCCTTAGTTGCCCAAGAGACCCACACAAGAATTAGGATCACCTTTTGCGCCAAAAATTGGAGTCCAAAATGCTCCGAAACCAAAAGGAGTTTCGCCCAACAAATAAAAGACCAAAGGAACAGCGGAAAGGTCATTTCAGCTCGATTCGCCTATACTGGGCTCTCCTCGAATCCCCTGCGAAAAATTGCTGTTTTTTGGTGCTAGCATGGAGTTCCACCAACCACTAAACTACTAAACTACTAAACTACACCAACCAAAAGCAACCAAAAAAAGACTAAAAGTAACCGGCAATGTTTAACTTGCTGGTGCTTCCATTTAGATACCCAACCACCAAACCCTCCAACCCAAAAACCTAAAGAAGATGACTTATTACTAAAAAACATGAAACGGCCCCAGGTGAGTGGCTGCAGAAGCCTCAGCAGCAGCTCCGGGGTGAAGTCGTGCTCCCCGGGCCCCAGCCCCGCCTGCAGATCCTGGACCCACAGCTCCATGCGCGCATCGGGCCGCGCGCGGAGCATCGCCTGCAGGTCCGACAACCTGAAGGAGGTCTCGGAAGAGGAAGACCAGCAGGACCTGGAGGGTTCTAACACCCCCCAAAAACCAGGGCGAAAAAGGGCCCCACGAGTTCATCGGTTTTCCTCTGACTCCCAAAGTGCCTTCGAAAGGAGAGGTGGGCTCCAAAACTGGCTTCGAAAGAAGGTGGACTGCACAAAAAAGGCAAGTTCATCGGTTCTCCGTTTGGCTTGGCCTTCAATAGTGTGAACGGGGTCACTAATAATGATAAGAAGAATAGCAATAAGAACAGTACTCATAACACTACATGGATGGATAGGGGGAAGAAAAAAAAACGCACCCACCTGGGGCTGACATCGCCTCTCGACTCGCTTCGCCGGGGTCCGCGGATGCGTGCCACTAGGAAGCGCAGCTCTCCCAAGAGCTCTTCGGTGCCTGAAAAACGCTGCGCGGCTCTCACGCCAAGGTCTGGTTGGCGTCTCAAAACATGATTTGGACCCCAAACATGATACATCTTGTTGTGCCCAAACATCAATTTTGGTATGTGCCAAAATGGTGTGCGTCTTAAAAGTATGATAGGCTGTTAAGCAGGGGTCGGGGAGGGGTCAAATGGACCAAATCAGATCACGGTGTTTTGCCCAATATCGCTGTAGGCTGTAGCACTCTATCAAAATAAGAGTTGGACCGATACATCATGTGCCAAGAAATCAAATTCGGTACGTTTTACATTGGATGTGAATGATGTTCAAGTTGTTTCAGGACTTACTCTGAGGAGCACAAAGCAGGGAACCCAACAATTGAGAAGCCCCATAAAGTTGATTCATAGAGTGCCTCCAGATTTGGGGGAGTCCCCCATCAAAAACAAAACTGTCCAGTGAGTCTGTTTTTGCTGCAGCCTACTAAAAATGAACATAAGCAAAAAGCCTAAAAACTCGCCAACAGAAGTGAAGCACACAACTAGCACATACACCAAATCTGATGCAAGTGTCTAAAGGCCTCCAGATCCAAGAAAAGCATCACCACGTTCTTGAAATCCAAATAGCTCCTCTGGCCGAGTCTCGCATTGAGCACTTTGTCGAGAGAATGCAGTTGAACCATGTTGAACCGGCTGGCCTCTGGTGGAATCAGTCAGCCAGGCTTCAGAACAAGCACCCAAAACAAGAAGTGCTTTCCCAGTCAGCATTGAATTACTAGGTTCAATTGAATTTGTAGAATGTTGAGCATGATTGACGAACCTACACAAGGCATCAACTTGGACTTGAACAAGGCACTTGGGAATGCACAACACAATGTTGTCAAACTCAGTTGCCAGCCTCAAACATGTGTTCAAATATCGTGTCCAGCAAGGCCTAAAATAAGGCTCAAAAGGCCGCATTCAGCAAGCCAACAGCAATCATGGAAGTGGGCGCGGATGCTGGTTTTGCTTTTTGCAGACCTATTTTGGTTGCCAAACATTTTAGGGCAGCACCCAAGATGCGTCAGCCTTAAGGGAAAACCAGGCTGACGGCCCTATTTGGGTGGCTCGTCTGTGCTGATGGTACCCTTTTTTAGAATGCCTTTAAACGGCGAGCCAAAAGGCAACCGGCAGGCAACCCCCGAATTTCGAAGAAACCTCCAACTGTCCTCAGGGATGTCCTGTTGGTTCCCTTCGACACGGGGGGGGGGGGGTAGCAAGCCTCCAAAAAGACGAGCCGCCCAAATGGGTCCCCACATCCCCCCATCGGATAGCTGGGACACCGCGCTGCATGTGCAAATCCCCGGCCGCGAAGAGGGCCTCGGAGACCTCCAAAGGGAGGCCGGCGCTGACCGCCGCCTTGCAAAACTGCTTCTTGTTCAAATGCCCGTTCCTAGTCGGCGATCGCAATGGGTATGGTTTCGTCCTAGTTTCCTGCACCTTCAACTTTTGACATCCCCATGCCTGTTCCTTGCAAAACCCAAGCGGAGGTTGTTGGGTAGTTTTGAAGACCGTTGCCACGGTTCCATTCTTGTTCCAATGCCCGTTCCTTGGCCGTATGGGGATATACTGAAACGAAGACTTTCAGATTATGTTACCCCTAAAGTATAAAACGATGTTCAGAATATACGAGGTTCGTAAAATTCGTTCAGACTAAAATTTAAGCTGATTCTGGGGGAAAAAAACTACAAATTCCTGCTTGAGTCGACAACTGCAATGAGGTATGGGCGGTTTCCCTAGGGCTTCCCTTTGACACCATACGAATCATGGCTGGTATGGGTGGTTTCATTTGCTTCTTGTTCACATGCCCGTTGGTTGAGTCGACCGCCGCTACGGGTGGTTCGCAGTTCAGGCTTCCACAATAGGTGGTTTCCCCCGATTGGTTGCCCCAAGTTCCCCAAGCCCACTGGATGATAGGTCAAACCTGGGGTCAAACCTGGGGCTTGGAATTAAGCAATTTTGAAGGCAAACACTTAGGGAGACACGTGATTGCTCGTGCCTGGAATTGGAGGTAACTTCCAGCCGGTCTTTCCTCGCAGCAACACATGTCCATGTCGGCTTTCGAAATCAAAGGAGTCCATATTCATTTGGGGCTTGGACAGGCTGATCATCCCCGCGCCAGGCCGCGCTGCTGGACTGTGTGTGTGTGTGCGTGCGGGTGTGTGTGTGCTTGTGCTTGTACTTGTGCATGTGCTTCAGCTTGTGTGTCGTGTCTGTCTCTGCTCTTGTGCTGATGTTGGTGCGTTGATTCTGTTTGTGTCTGTGCTCGTGCTTGTGTGTGTGTGTGTGTTTGTGCCTGTACTTGCGCTTATGCTTGTGCTGGTGCTTGCACTTGCTTGTCTGTGTCTGTGTGTGCGTGAGTGGTTGTGTTTGTGCGCGCCTGGGTGCGTGTGTTCAAACGCGTGCAAGTTCGCGTGCAGGTGTTCAAATGTTCCAGTGGTAACCTTACAATGAGGGTCCGTCAAAAAGAGTTAGTCTCACACAAGCGCTAAATTGCAGACATTTGAGGGCAATGCGACCTCAACGGTATGACTCTTTGGGACAAGCGCTAGTGCATGGTGGTCATGCCTATCTGTATGCTGGAGAGGGAGGCGTTGTGGAAAAGCTGGTGTATGGACTCGTGGTCGCATTCACACTCGTTGCCTGTGTGTGTGTGTATGTGTCTGCGTGTTGTTGTATGTCGGTATGTCAGTATGTGGATACCTATGTCTGCATGGCTCATTCTTGCTTGTAAGTGAACCATGTATGCCAGCGTCTGTGTGTGTGTGTGGTGTTGTTTCTTTCATGCATTTAACTGATTCGGAGAATATATACATATACTGTGCATATCTATGTGTACATTATATTGTCTGTTGTGCTATCATATGTGTTATGGCCCGCCGCATGTGGTAAGTAATCCTATGAGGTAATATGCTAGCTGTCAGTCTCTGTTTGTGTCACTCGGTATAGTATTTGTCACTCTCTCTCTCTCTCTCTCCCTCTCCCTGTCTCTGCCTTCGCGTCTTCTTCTGCCAGTGTCTGTCACTGTCTGCTTCTCTGTCTGTCTGATCCGGCTTCGTCTGGCCTGGTCTTGCTTGTATGGTCTGGCCTGGCTGCTCTGTCCACCTGTCTGTCTGTGTCCAAGTCTATGTCTGTGTCTGCGTCCCGCACCTGTGTGTGTGTGTGTGCGTGTGTGTGTCGCTGTGCCTCTGTCTCTCTCTTTTTCTCGCTCTCGCTCTCTCTCTCTCTCTCTCTCTCTCTGTCTCTCTTCTATCTCTGCCCACCTGTCCGTCTGTCTTTCTGCCCGTTTGCCCCTCTGAACGATGACTAAGCGTATGCCTGCACGTACGAACGTATGCATGCATGCCTGGATACAGCACACGTTGCGTCCGCCAATGATCACGTCAAACACCGCCCCATCCTTCAGCACTCGTTTACCTCAACCTTCACCCACCTTTCACCCCACCGAAAAGCCCGCCGATTCAAGGCGCCAAGCTTCCCCCCCTCGTCCATGCGCCGAAAAAGCAGGCGCGCCCCCAGCAGCCACTCGGAACGCAGCCCGGAGCCCAGCAAACTCAGCAGCATGCGGAAGGTCGAACTCAGCCCCGCGCGCTCCTGGCGGAGCTTGCGTGGCGCGGCGCTGAGTGCGAAGAGCAAAAGGAGCAAAGAGATCCCGCTGTTTTGGGAGGAGGGCCACACGTTGGTGCATGTCTTCAGAAGAAAGAGGCCACGTTGGATTCAGGTTGGATCACTATCCAACTGCCTCCGATTCGCCCGAGGCGCACCGAACCGAAGGCCTCGAGGCGCTTGGCGAAGTTGGGATGCTGGGGCACCCAAAGGCCCCAGCCATTGGAGGCGTCCGCCTGCGACCGACGTGAGGCGAGCCATTGGCCCAGTCCCCCGGGTTTTTGGGGGTCGCGTTCCCTCAAAACCTGACGGGCTACGGATCGATTTGAATCAAGCTGAGTTGGGAAAGAACCTCGTGCTCAAAGCGCATCACTTCCAGAAATGAGCCACACTTCAAGCTGTTGTCTGTCTCATTGACCTCCTGCACCTCTCCACCTCTCCACCTCTCCACCTCTCCACCTCTCCCCCTCTCCACCTCTCCACCTCTCCACCTCTCCACCTCCCCATGATCCTCCTCTTCCCGATTGCCTTGAGCATGGCATCGTAGGCGCTCATGCAGGGTCCATGGGCATCCTGCAGCCAATTCGTGCGTAGCACCTCGATCGCTTCGGGCCGGTCTGCGGCCTGGCGGGCCATCATGGACAACACGATGTCCTGCACCTCAGGAATCCTCGGATCTGATCAAATGGGGCTCCCTGCTTTTGGACATCAAGTTTCTGGGCTGAGTTTAATCAGCTTCCCTTCAGTGGGTAATTTAATGTTGAAAGGGAAAAATATCAGGAACCCGATTTTGATGTGTGCGTCAAGCACTGGTTCCTTCTTCGGGCTCAGTACGTAATTCTATTGCTTGTACCTCTTGCGGTTCCATCGTCATGTTCTTCAAGCCCCGTCTCTCCTCTGACCCGAGCTGACGTGCCCCAACGCCATGTCGAGATGTCTAGACTTTCTCGAAGCTTTCTTTGGATTCTCCCTGGGGAGAAGTTCCAACGGGATCAAGTCATGTTCTCTTTGGACGTGTTTTCATCATGGGCGGACGCCGAAAAAAAGTTTGCCGTCGCTGTTTAATTCAACCTAAAAAGGGTACCATCAAAAACGCACATGTCATGTTTGTCATTAAAACACTTCCATCTTCTCAGACTCTCAAGCTTTGCTTACTCTGTTTTTCAACTGGGACACCCCAAAAAGGAAGCTGCGGTTTGCCATCTAGCTTCCCCTTGTTGCCTTGGCAAAAAGCATCATCTCCGCTTTCAAAACAGACTCCTTACGCAGGAAAGAGAACCCCGCCCCCCGGAAAAATAATGAAATAAGCGCAAACAAAACAAACCGAAAAACGTCTTAGGCGGAACGGAAAACGGCGACCTTTTTGGGCCCAGCGTCTGCAAGGACTGGCAAGCGTTGCGCAGCCGCTCCAAGTCCCTCCAATCCAGGCCCTTCTCGGACAAGATCCGCTCGTGCACCCCCCCGCGGCTCAGCTGCTGATAGCACCTCGCAGACTCGACCGCTCGAGGCTGTGGGTCCCGAATGTGGCCACCACGGGCGTTCTTGGTAGAGATCGAAAGGCTGCAACTTCACTTTGTGCCTTTGGGGAAATACGCGCTTTATCAAGCTTGAAAGGTTGAGTCACACCAAATGCTTTTGTTTTCTTCTTCTTTTTTGGGGGGGACCTTTCCAAACTCGGTGTTTCCTGTTTGTGCCTCCTTTGAAACCACACAAGGGGGGTACCCTCAAAAACAGAACCACACCCAATACTCATTCTGCAGGTTGAAAAGTATTCCCGGTCACACAATCAGCTCCCCTGCTGAAAGCTTTCAACTCTTCGCGGCTTCAAATACGGAAAGCCAACTAAAAACAAGCCCAAAACCCTAAGGAACCAGATGGAAACCACGACCTTCAAATGGCCGGAGGCACATGGACAAGGACGCAGACTTCAAATTGAAGAAGGGCAGCCACCCCCCGGTGAGCAGCTCAAAAGCGGTGACCCCCAGCATGTACACGTCGCTCCTGGTGCACAAATTCTCCTCAGGGGTGCTGAAGAAAATTGGACGTGTCATTCTTCGTTTTAGGACTTGGATCCACAAAATTGTGTTAAAAGAAACCCTTTGGGTCTTTTTTGAAGGCTGGTGTTCGTTGACAAAATGATTTCCTTTTGGTTTCCCTTACAGAAGGGATACCCCAAAAAAGGAACCACGCCCAACTGCACATGTCTGTATCCATGGAAGGCTTTCCAAATGGGTCTTTGCTTTTTTGAGTTGGCACCTGTCTTCAGATCCCCTACGAAAGGAGTGGGGGCTTCCATTTATATAATCTAAAGTTAAGCCTTTAGATTATGTAAATGGAAGCCCCCACTAAACCAACTAAGAACAACTAAGAACCAAGAAACCGCGACAGCTGGGAACCGCCAAGTACTCCCTTGCTCTTTGGGGAGAAATTTGGGATCAGACACTGACTCACTCCTTCCAGCTGACTCCACGTTTTGAAGAGGGTCCCTTGAAGAGGAAAACGTCTCTTCCAACTACCCTTCACAAATGCCTTCTGTTAGCGGGAGCATGGGTCAAAACCCCGTACCCCCAGTGAACGTCCCAATCCCCACAAAAAATAGACTAAAATGGGTGGTGCGCCCACCCCAAAATGGGATCCCATTCATTCTGACAACCACGGCCACGTGTTTTTCGGGGATTGGTCAAACCCCTTGCTCCTTGGCGATCACCTCCGGCGGGATGTAGCGCGGATCTCCGGGCGCGGCCACCAGAGCGGAGCCCAGGCACACCGTGGCATGCCCGAAGTCGCAGACGATGCCTCCGCCGAAACCAAAGGCCCGGGGACTGGGAGGGGGTCCAAGCAGGCGCTTTCCCTGCGCAGTCTGCACAAAAGGCCAGGTTTTCCAACAATCCCCCCACCGATTTGTAGGGGAGATGTGTTCTTGCTGAGAATGAGTTGGAATGACCCCCTCTACACTATGTTTTCCTTTAAGGGAATCCACTTCCGGTTCATTCCCAACACCCAGAAGGTCATTCCCTACCTACCTGCACCAGCAAGGTTTGGGGGTCCTGCAGTTTCAACCAAAGAAAATGAATTTCGGGCCCAGAATGGTGGATCATTTTTGGCGGGGATTTACGTACCACTAGAGTTCGGCAACTCCTTGAGATACCCCAAAACGGGGACCCTCCAAACGGAGCGCCTTTCGGCAAGGGAACCAGAGGGCGTCTACCAACTTTGCAAGATGCAGAGAGGCGAACCGTCCGGTCGCCGACCGCCAATCAGCACGTTCTCGGGCTTGAGATCTCCGTGCAAAACAAATTGGCGATGGCAGTATGCCACTGCGCTCAAGATCTGCTGCATAGCTCCTCGCAGCGGATTCCATGTGTTCTGCCAAACGACACAACGTGAGTCGCAATGAAATCTGGTATAAGAATGATCTACCCATACCCAGAACCATGTAAAGAACTCAAAAGGCAACTGCACCCACGTATGGTTGGGACCACCATCCCTGACTGACCTTCATCTTACTGGGTTTGATTGTGGCTCACATAACACAAAGGCTCTTGTCTTATTTCTTTTCCTTTTTTTTCTCTCTCGCTCTCTCTCTCTCTCTCTCTCTGTGATACAGCTCGCTGATAGCCGTCACGATCAGCTCACTCTCATGTGGAACTCATTCGCATTTTTGTTGAGTGGAGCGCTGTTTGCTTGGTGTCAACCCATTGTGAAAAGAGCACGCTTCAGATCCAGTCTTTCCTCGCCTGAGATCCAGGGGCCCTCTTCGTGTTGCTCCGCATATGTGGAGAGGGTGCCTCCCGCTGCCAGCTCCGTCACAATCAGCACCTGAGAGACTTATGACTTGAGTTGCTCCCCATCTGGCTTCATGGAAAGGGGCTACGCCTTTTTCTGGTGGATAGGAACCCCAGTTTGATGAGACATCTTCCGCAGCGGTCTGACGATGGCAACTGAAACGATGCAAAGTGAAACAACCACATCCAGCCACAAAAACGGAGGTGACTTGCGGTAGATTCGAGCGATCCGGGTTTTTGCAATCGACGTAAGGGTCTCTGTTCAGGGAACCATGACCCACTCGGCCAAAGAAACGGAGTATCTTCTCCTTAGGGATTGGTTGCCCCGTCTTGAGGTCAATGCAATGAAGACCCCAAGACCACACATGTCATTGTTCTTCAAAGAGCTTGGTTTGCGCTTTGCTAACGCTGTTCTCCCACGACTTCACGGGTTCCCCACCCTCCACCCCATTGGGGGTTCAGATCCCTCAGATCCCGCCTACTTCTTACACATGGGTGTGATTGTTCATAGGCCATCAAAGCTTTGGACATCAAAATTCGCAGGAGGGTCATGTCCAACGGTGAAACCCAACTCCGAAAGCAATCAGGTCCACACGAGTTGCGATCAAATCGGGGAATCCCCAAAATAGGGTTGGTGCCCTTTGGGCTTCCCCTTGAAACCCTCGAACAAAAAGGAACCGAGCCACTCCCTGTTCGGCCGCTTTTGGATGCCCCGCGCCTCGCGGGGGAACTTCACCACCTCGAAGATCCGCAGCAGGTTGGGATGCGCCAGGGCCCTCAGCACGCTCACCTCGTCCCCCTGGCCCTCCTCCTTCGGAGACTTGGATTCATCCGGGCGGTGGTTTCACCGGGCTTTGGAGTATGTTGCGAATTTGTGTCTTCGGGTGCGGGTGGGATCCCGAAACACACACACACCCACCCACCCACCCACCCACCCACCCACCCACCCACCCACCCACCCACCCACGCACGCACGCACGCACGCACGCACGCACGCACGCACGCACGCACGCACGCACGCACGCACGCGCCCGCGCGCCCGCGCGCGCTCGCGCTCGCGCTCGCGCTCGCGCTCGCACTCGCACTCGCACTCGCACTCGCACACGCACACGCACACACACACACACACACACACACACACACACACACACACACACACACACACACACACACACACACACACACACAGACACACAGACACACACACACACACACACACACACACACACACACACACACACACACACACACACACACACACACACACACACACACACACACACACACACACACACACACACACACACACACACACACACACACACACACACACACACACACCCACGCACGCACGCACGCACGCACCCACCCACCCACCCACCCACCCACGCACGCACGCACTCACCCACCCACGCACGCACGCACGCACGCATGCACGCACAACAGAAAGAAAACAACAAAGAAAAAACGACTGGTCACCAAACACCCCAAACTTAAACAAGCGAAAACACCAACACCACTGGCCCGGCCAAACCTCATCTGGTCCTCGGGATCGAGGCGCTCCAGATGCTTCACCGCCACTTCTCGGCCGCTGCAAAGCTCCTTGGCCTGGAAGACCTCCCCAAAGTGCCCGGCACCAATGTGCTTCACCTTCCTCACTTGGCCCAAAGGACCTGGAAACAAAGGGTGAACCTTTTGGGCCTGGAAACAGAAGGTGAACCAAAATGGGAGCTTTGCTAAACATGGACCAAAATGAGAAACCAAAAGCTCAAAAGGTTGATTCGCTTTGGACAACCGAGCTTCCGGTACCGGCTCCACACCGCCTCATCAAGCGGCGGATATCGCGGTTTTGAGCTAACGTCGATGCGGGTGGCTTGTCTTTTCTTGAGGGCACCTTGTTTCATATCGCCGAGAAAGGGAAACAGCAGTTTTTGAGAAAAAGCTGAGTGGGGGGGGGGGCAAAGCGCTCGGTTGTCGCGAGCGCTTTGAATTTCGGGAAACACACGTACAGGTGCCGGAGAAACCTCGGGACCATGCAAGGGCAACGACCATGTTGCTGAAACATCGCGGAGTTTGGCCCCTTGCCACGTGTATCGCAAAGAGAGACAAAGCTCGTCCTCTGGCTAGATCCGATGGCGTCGGCTCTTAGGAAGCTTGGGACTTGTTTTCAGGGGTCATTTTGAGACACATGTGCGGCAAGCTCATCTGGCAGATTACAGATGTTCAATCCTGCGCCTAAGCACGCCTGTGCTAAAGAGATGCGGAGTTCTTTTGATGGAAGCACAACAACACAAGCATGGCGTTGTATTGCGGCAAGCAGAAGCAACAACAACGCGGCAGTTAGCATGATGCCCATAGACACATGGGGGAATCGATCCTGTCATGGGTCTTTTGACCAAACACAAAGCATGGTTCTCATCTCTCTAAAGACTCGCCCAGGCCGGCCTCCTGACCCCGAATGCAGTTCGTCTTTGGCGGTGCAGTCACGAGTGGGAATGCAGTGCAAAACAGAAAAATAGTTAGTTTCGTTTTGTCTTCCCTTCAAACCAACCTCAAAAAGGGTAATTCGCCTCCAAAACGCGAGTCGCCCCGCAAGCCGCCTCTTCCGGCGAAGAGTGCACCTCGTGGCAGCAGATGGTGTTTCGGTGCCTGCCAGCAGTGGCCAGGGTGATGGGACACAGCCCGATCAGCGTCTGCTGGAACCTTGGCTGCTACATGGCTGCACGGGGTCTCAACATGGGAATCGGACCCCTTTGTGGATGGAAACCCAGAAGGAAACCACCCACCTGGATGGGGTGCCCAATTTGGAGTCATTCCATGAGTCGGGTCACTGAATTTCTCTAAAGATTGCACTTTACTGCGGGGTCCATTGAATTTGCCCGCATTTGGAAAATTGAAGGATCCCTGTAAGTCCATGGATAGGCTGCTTGGCATTTCTGAAATGGAACCTCTGAGCGTATACTCTTTGATTTCCTGTGGGTTCCATAAACCACCATGGAATGTTAATGGTTCCGTGAAACAGTTCCCAAAACCTCTGAGATGTCGCTGCGCTGCAGGAAACCATCCAAAGCAGGACGGGTCACTCTCAAAATGCCGGAAACTTGTTGCCTAGGCCGACAACTTGTGGGTATCACAGCCCTACGGCGTCGGCCCACCTCGGCC